AATTGCAGTATTAACCCTTTCATGTCGAGAGCCCTGTTCACAAACTTGCTTTCAGTGTCGGAGAATTAAAAAAATAAAATTTTTTTCTCCTGAAATGATAGAGAATCTTTTCCCAATGGACTCTTTTTTCCCAGTGGTAATAACACCAAAAATATGAAATTTGATGGAAAACTTGCAGAATTACGCTCTCACAATGTTAGCGCTCTCGGCGATATATTTGCATTGGCAATTTCGCCTACTTTGAGCCCTACTTTTGGCCAATTCCATTATTCCAGTCGACCAAACTCGTAGCTGTTTCGCTAAAGCTGCATTTGTTCTATTGATTGAGTACAAGAAATCACCCATTTACCGATTTCAACTACCCAGTAAAGTGATCAGAAATTGGTAATTTGGCCAATCTCATACACAATTCAAGTAAGGCCAATTTCAAAATTGGGTCCAGAATTAACAATACAAATATTCTTAGCACTAAAATACGATTTTCTCTGTTCATTAGTTACATCTCCAGGCCCCTCTTGTATTACTCTTACTATCCATTTTGTATTTTTATTCACACAAAAAATAGAAGATTTACTGTTATGCAGACTACTGCATTATTGTAAAAATGGTATAAATAATATCAGCGCATTTGTGAAAGCATATTAGACCCACCAGTAGACATGTATTAGATGCGTGATGTGATTTGTTTACTCTTGAACATCGGCAAAAATCAAACATTTCTGCTAATTAGAGTTCAATTTCAAGGTACTTTTAGTCCGTAAACCATTCAAAATCATTTCTCCTGTAACATATCTTCCATTCTATCAAATGAGACCAAGAAAACGAGAATACAACCATAAATGCTGTACGAAAATACACTGCAAAGTCAGTATTTTAAACCAAAAACTTTTTTTTTTTTTTTTATCTTGTGCACTGCATGCTGCAGGATTTTTTTTTATACTGCACACACTGACCACTCAGACCCATTCTCTCATATATAGGACTACCAGCTTTCTCCCGCAAGATTTGAAGCCACTAGAATTTTGGCGTAATATTACAGCACCGACAGTGAAAGGGTTAAGCATTAATTACAGCATCTGTAGTATTATGCAGTAACTAGTGCAACTGCAGTATTAAACTTGGGTCATCTAAAGAATGTTGGTAGCTTCTCTGCCTTCTCTTAATTATTAGTTATGTATCATTACTATTGCTTTAAATATTGAGTTTGAAAGGCTAGTATTTCTTGGTAATTTAGGTGCCATGGAAATAATGAGTTTGTGAATTTTCAAAGTATTTTTCAACTTTCATTATCTGCTGAGGTGCAGTATCTCATGGGATATGCTTATTTTGAAGGAGTAATCTCTGGTCTATGTGAAGTTATTGTTGTTGGTACAGTACTGCAATAATAGTAGTTGATGTTGAACAAAAAGGTTCTCCTTCCTGCTCTTGATAGTCTGTTGTCTAAGAATTACCACCTTCCTCGATGCTATCAACTAGCCCTTTCTTGTTGTTAGGTAAGACACATATGCAACAGTTAGCCCTTTCTTCTCTGAAATCTAATAGCAATATTGTCATCATCTTATCTGACAAAGGCAATTCAGTGGTTGTCCTTGAGTCAGAGAACAAAGCTGAAGCCTTGTTCTCTGACTCACGTACTTTCACACCTTTCGCTTCCAACTCTCTTGATCGCACCAAGAGAACTTTCAACAATAAACTTCGGACTCTCTCCAGTCTCTCTCCTCCTGACTTTGACTTTGTTCAACATTTCCATTTTATTTATCCCCCCTCTGTCTTATTTCTGTGGTTTTCCTGAAATTCATAACCCTGATAATCCTCTACATCCCATCATATCCTCCAGAGGCTGTGTCTTATTCATTTTCCTCTTGGTTGGCCAAAACTTTACCTCTTTTTCTTGATACTTTTTCTCCTCACATCCATTACTCTCAAGACTTCATTGAACGTGTTCGCCCTCTCTCGACCTGTAAGATGCTTGATGTTGAGTCCCTCTTCACTAATGTCCCTCTTGATGATGATCTTGATTTTCTTGGAGGTGAAGGCCAGTGAAGGGTTACTTCTCCCTATGCCTACTGATGTCTTTCTTGATCTTATTTGCCTTTGTGGGAATGCTTAGCTCCTTTTCCTTTCAAGGTAAATTTTATTCTCAAACCTTCAGTGTCACCATGGGCTCTCCTCTAATCCCTGTTCTTGCCAACTGTCATATGGAATACTTGGAAACTGTTCTTCCTATTATTGGTGTGTGCCCATCCCTCTGGCTCCACTATATAGATGATATCTTTGCTCTCTTCCAACCATTTCTCTATGCCCTTAACAATCTTGCTCCTTCCATAAAGTTTAAAGCTGAAGGGAATTTAACTCTGCCTCCTTTTTTTGTACATGTTCACTGCTCACTTACAGGCTTTTCTTTTTCCATTTATTGCAAGCCAATGCACAGTGGCATGCACATTCACTATTTTCCCTACCATGCTCCCTCTGTCAAGAAAAGTGTTATTTCTCTTTCTCCATGCTCTCTGCATTTGTGACCCTCAGTTTCTTCTGTTGAAAATTTCCACACTTTGTAATTCGTTCTACCATCTTGGCTACCCTTTCGATTTCATAAACTCAGTGTGACTTTGTAAATGGTCCAAGTCAGACCGAAACGTCATCGTAAGCTCCCCTTTCCTATGTGCAGGTTATTTGTGTATTCATAAACTCTGCCTTTTCATGTGTTAAACCGACTTCTCTCATATTTTCTACTCCTGTGAAAGCTGTTCTCTGCCTTTCCTATATTTCCAGTCTTTCTAATCTCAACAACTCTATCCATTCCTTAGACATCAAACTCACTTTTCGACAAACTAACACCCTTTGCAGTAATCTAGTTCATACCTCTCCTCCTGCTATAGATGCTTCTGGTGTCTACTCTATTTTATGCTCATCTTGTTCTATTCAATACTTTGGAGAAACTGGCCATTCTCTTTCTGGCAGACCTAAAGAACACAAAGAAAGTGTTAGGCTTGCTGACAACAATAATGCTCTTTTCTGTCATGTTAGAGATCACAGTCATCCTATTGCCTAATCCTTGGTTAAAACTGTCTATCCTACCTTTAGCCTTCACAGTTGCTATCTTGTTGAAGCATCCCTTATACACAACTTTCATAGCATCGGTTTTAGTCCTGGCTTTGTCTCTGTAGGTGCCTTCCTCTCTCATTACATTGTCAAATGCTCCAAACTTCAGAACACTGAAGTTTGGAGCATTTGAACACCTGATCCTTTCTCCTCCTCCTCCTCTTCCTAACTCTTCTTTCCTATTTGTTTCCTTTATTCTTTCTTTATTTTCCTTCTGCCTAAGTGTGTTCTGTACTTCAGTCTCCCCTTTCCCCTCCCTGTTTTTTTTGGTCCTACCCCTTGTGGGCCTTAACTCTCCTGCAGTGTTCCCTTTTCTTGTCCTTAGACTTACTCCACTTTTACTACTACTACTCCATTACTGCTACTATTGCTATTACCACTGCTGTTGCCTCCCTTCACCTTTCACTCCCTTTTCTATCCCTTGTGCCACCATAACTACTCTCCCTGCTTACTACTACCACTACCACTTTCGCTGCTGGCATTACCACTACTACTATTTTTTCGTCCTCTTTGTTCCGTCCCTGTCCACCTTGCCTATATACAGTAGTACCTTGACCTAGGAGTTTAATTTGTTCCATGACCGAGCTCATAACTCAATTTGCTTGTATATCAGATCAGTTTTCCTTGTTGAAATTAATTGAAATGCCATTAATCCATTTTTCCACCCCAGGGGCAGGAGAAAATATTTCAGTATAATGCTAATATCAACTCTATGGCTTATTTTTCTATCAGAATTGATCTAATATGACTCTAGAATGAATAAATAGGCCATAATATGGCGAGTGTCCAGGACCAGTCTGAGCATATAAAATCGTTACTGCTCCTTCCTATAATGTGTTCTTTGGTCCTGGGTAAGAGAAAATGGAGTGTTTTGTGAGGCTAACTGCACTAAGTCACTAGTGCAGTAATATGTGAATATCTCGGAAGTAAGTTATTGACTTATTTCATGAAGTCCACTATTTATTATTGACAGTAATCATAAAAAATAAATTATTGTTCTACAATTGGTTTATGGAATATTGGAAATATTCCAAATATTTTGGGATTTGTGTGGGAGTAAAGGGCAAGATATTTTTCAGATGTCAAAAACTTAGCACTTTTTTTTTTTTTTTTGTAAAATAACTAAAGATAATTACACGATTACCTCCAGTGAGAACATTGTACTAGCATTGTTTTATAAGTACCAAGTCCCAAAACCATCTTTTGTTGTGCCATTTAGGCCAGGGCTCTTGCCAAATGTCATTTTCGGTAAATATTTTTTTTTTCGGTAAATATTTTGTTTGCTCGTAACTCGGATTTTGGCTCACAACTCAAAGCAAATCGACCGAGTGATGGTTCATAACCCGGAAAACTCTTAAGTTGGGGCATTTGTAAGTCAAGGTACCACTGTACTGGCTCCCTCACTCTTTTGTATTAGTGTGACTTTGTAAATGGTCCAAGTTGGACTGAAAGGTCTTCAAGCCTTTCTCATGATCCAGGTTATTTGTGTATGTGGTTGATGTTCATTGAAATATCTCCATATTAGTGATAGGCTATACTGTGTATGCTAAATTATGATCTTAGAAAGTGAATGGACCAGAGCTGACATTTTTAGCTTAGAGAAGCACTTTAATATTGTACTGTAGTGTAATGAGAAATGCTTTACTAATACATGTACCTCTATAAATTTTTTGTTCTTATAAATACGGAATGAAGTTTTTCATTGATTTATTTTGATATGAAATTTATTACTCATTCAAGGAAGTACAGATGGTAAATAGCAGGTTTTTATCTGGAATATTCTGAAAATACTATACTTCTTTTGTATTTCTTGATTTTATCATCTTCTTCCTGAGTAATGGTTTCACACATAGGATGGTTTACATTGTGCTTTGTTCTCATTTGCCATGTACTTGCAGTTGGTGGCTACCCTCAAAGTGGCTATGCAGAGCTAGATGGTACTCTGCTTCCTCCCAATGGCGAGGACCCTTATCGTAACACACCATCACCTGGGATGCAGGGGATCCCACAAGATAGATACGGTTAGTGACTTTGCTCTAAGTTTGCATGCAGTATATTTCTTGCAGAGCTTGTGGATTTCTCCATTTTCTAACAAGTGTCTTGCAAGATTATGTATGTATGGTAATAGTTATAACTTCTTTACCACCATGTGTCCATTGACACCTTCAATTTTCAGTTCCTGTTTACATAACTTTATACAGTACTACAATGTTTTCACTTTGTGAGTGATCCAGTGTACTGTTCTCAAGACATTCATTGAAGCTACAGTAGACCGTCATTTAACACAAGTTTATTTGGCATGATTTGGTTATAGCACAAATGAAAAATTGCAGCACAATTTTATACAGCACTTTGTAAAATTAACTTTACATGGTTCTGTTTGTGGGTGTGGAAAAAATTTCCCAAGCTCAAGCTGCCACCTTGTTGTGGGTCAGCACGTAAGAATGAGGTAAACATGAGTTTGTGTAATGACTGACTTACTGACCGATTTACTGTTTGACTTACTGTATTACTGATTTGACTCACTTGACTCACCTACTGACTTGACTGACTGACTTGACCGACTGACTTGACCATCTGACTGACTTGATTGACTTACTGAATTGACTGACTGACTTGACTGGCTTACTGACCTGACTGATTTACTGACAGACTTACTGACTTACTTGACTGACTGATTTACTGACTTGACTGGTTTACTGACTGGCTTCAAGTTAGACTTTTTCACTGAAGAGGACCCTGAAATGGTGTCTAGAGCAGCTGATGCCGTACCGTCAGTTGTATAACGTACTCTGCTGGGTAAAATAGAAAAGAAATACATTACAGAATTTATGCGCACTTGAGGACAACCATCGACTTTGGTAATAGAACCTCTACCATCCACCTCAGCCCAGTAGGGCCACAGTATAACTCTCCACTCTCTACACAATCATCCACAAACACCAGTACCCACAATTTAAGGTAAGAAATACTATTATTTCTGTTCCATTTGTAATCTTAAGCATTGAAAATAACATAATACATCATGATAGTGAATTATAATTACATATTCACTTTTATTACTGTAAGATCTGTTGATCTAAAAAATGTTGTTTGGCTTTTTGGGGGCTCCCAGGAATGTGACCCTATTTTTCCCACAAGTTCTTCAGTTCATCTAGCACGGTTTTATCTAGTACAGTGTTTTCAGGAATGTAACTACAGTGTTAAATGACGGTTTGCTATATATTAATTATGGATCTACATTTGTTAAAGGTAATTTAAAGTTTGGAGTTGCATTAAGCACAAACTAATGTATTTTTTAAGCAAAGAAAAATATGCAGTAGTTGGAAATTTTGGAAATACTCTTAGTAGTAGGTTGGTAGACAGCAACCACCCAGGGAAGTAATACCGTCCTCCCAGATGACTGTGAAACAGAAACCTGTAACTGTTTTGCATGATGGTAGGATTGCTGGTTTCTTTTTCTGTCTCATAAACACGCTAGATAACAGGTATATCTTGCTACTCCTACTTAAACTTCGGTCACACTTCACAGACACGCACATGCATGTATATATACATACATTTAGGTTTTTCTCCTTTTTCTAAATAGCTCTTGTTCTTCTTTATTTCTTCTATTGTCCATGGGGAAGTGGAAAAGAATCTTTCCTCCGTAAGCCATGCGTGTCGTATGAGGCGACTAAAATGCTGGGAGCAATGGGCTAGTAACCCCTTCACCTGTAGACATTTACTGAAAAAGAGAAGAACAAAAACTTAATAAAACTGGGATGCTTGAATGTGCGTGGATGTAGTGCGGATGACAAGAAACAGATGATTGCTGAAGTTATGAATGAAAAGAAGTTGGATGTCCTGGCCCTAAGCGAAACAAAGCTGAAGGGGGTAGGGGAGTTTCGGTGGGGGGAAATAAATGGGATTAAATCTGGAGTATCTGAGAGAGTTAGAGCAAAGGAAGGGGTAGCAGTAATGTTGAAGGATCAGTTATGGAAGGAGAAAAGAGAATATGAATGTGTAAATTCAATAATTATGTGGATTAAAGTAAAGGTTGGATGCAAAAAGTGGGTCATAATAAGTGTGGATGCACCTGGAGAAGAGAGGAATGCAGAGGAGAGAGAGAGATTTTGGGAGATGTTAAGTGAATGTATAGGAGCCTTTGAACCAAGTGAGAGAGTAATTATGGTAGGGGACCTGAATGCTAAAGTAGGAGAATCTTTTAGAGAGGGTGTGGTAGGTAAGTTTGGGGTGCCAGGTGTAAATGATAATGGGAGCCCTTTGATTGAACTTTGTATAGAAAGGGGTTTAGTTATAGGTAATAAATATTTTAAGAAAAAGAGGATAAATAAGTATACAAGATATGATGTAGGGTGAAATGACAGTAGTTTGTTGGGTTATGTATTGGTAGATAAAAGACTGTTGAGTAGACTTCAGGATGTACATGTTTATAGAGGGGCCACAGATATATCAGATCACTTTCTAGTTGTAGCTACACTGAGAGTAAAAGGTAGATGGGACACAAGGAGAATAGAAGCATCAGGGAAGAGAGAGGTGAAGGTTTATAAACTAAAAGAGGAGGCAGTTAGGGTAAGATATAAACAGCTATTGGAGGATGGATGGGCTAATGAGAGCATAGGCAATGGGGTCGAAGAGGTATGGGGTAGGTTTAAAAATGTAGTGTTAGTGTTCAGCAGAAGTTTGTGGTTACAGGAAAGTGGGTGCGGGAGGGAAGAGGAGCGATTGGTGGAATGATGATGTAAAGAGAGTAGTAAGGGAGAAAAAGTTAGCATATGAGAAGTTTTTACAAAGTAGAAGTGATGCAAGGAGGGAAGAGTATATGGAGAAAAAGAGAGAGGTTAAGAGAGTGGTGAAGCAATGTAAAAAGAGAGCAAATGAGAGAGTGGGTGAGATATTATCAACAAATTTTGTTGAAAATAAGAAAAAGTTTTGGAGTGAGATTAACAAGTTAAGGAAGCCTAGAGAACAAATGGATTTGTCAGTTAAAAAAGGAGAGGAGAGTTATTAAATGGAGAGTTAGAGGTATTGGGAAGATGGAGGAATATTTTGAAGAATTGTTAAATGTTGATGAAGATAGGGAAGCTGTGATTTCGTGTGTAGGGCAAGGAGGAATAACATCTTGTAGGAGTGAGGAAGAGCCAGTTGTGAGTGTGGGGGAAGTTCGTGAGGCAGTAGGTAAAATGAAGGGGGTAAGGCAGCCGGATTGATGGATAAAGATCGAAATGTTAAAAGCAGGTGGGGATATAGTTTTTGGAGTGGTTGGTGCAATTATTTAATAAATGTATGGATGAGGGTAAGGTACCTAGGGATTGGCAGAGAGCAGCATAGTTCCTTTGTATAAAGCAAAGGGGACAAAAGAGAGGGCAAAAATTATAGGGGGATAAGTCTGTTGAGTATACCTGGTAAAGTGTATGGTAGAGTTATTATTGAAAGAATTAAGAGTAAGACGGAGAATAGGATAGCAGATGAACAAGGAGGCTTTAGGAAAGGTAGGGGGTGTGTGGACCAGGTGTTTACAGTGAAACATATAAGTGAACAGTATTTAGATAAGGCTAAAGAGGTCTTTGTGGCATTTATGGATTTGGAAAAGGAGTATGACAGGGTGGATAGGGGGGCAATGTGGCAGATGTTGCAGGTGTATGGTATAGGAGGTAGGTTACTGAAAGCAGTGAAGAGTTTTTATGAGGATAGTGAGGCTCAAGTTAGAGTATGTAGGAAAGAGGGAAATTATTTCCCAGTAAAAGTAGGCCTTAGACAGGGATGTGTGATGTCTCCGTGGTTGTTTAATATATTTATAGATGGGGTTGTAAGAGAAGTAAATGCGAGGGTCTTGGCAAGAGGCATGGAGTTAAAAGATAAAGAATCACACATAAAGTGGGAGTTGTCACAGTTGCTCTTTGCTGATGACACTGTGCTCTTGGGAGATTCTGAAGAGAAGTTGCAGAGGTTGGTGGATGAATTTGGTAGGGTGTGCAAAAGAAGAAAATTAAAAGTGAATATAGGAAAGAGTAAGGTTATGAGGATAAAAAGATTAGGTGATGATAGATTGGATATCAGATTGGAGGGAGAGAGTATGGAGGAGGTGAATGTATTCAGATATTTGGGAGTGGACTTGTCAGCGGATGGGTCTATGAAAGTTGAGGTGAATCATAGAATTGATGAGGGGAAAAGGGTGAGTGGTGCACTTAGGAGTCTGTGGAGACAAAGAACTTTGTCCTTGGAGGCAAAGAGGGGAATGTATGAGAGTATAGTTTTACCAACGCTCTTATATGGGTGTGAAGCATGGGTGATGAATGTTGCAGCGAGGAGAAGGCTGGAGGCAGTGGAGATGTCATGTCTGAGGGCAATGGTTGGTGTGAATATAATGCAGAGAATTCGTAGTTTGGAAGTTAGGAGGAGGTGCGGGATTACCAAAACTGTTGTCCAGAGGGCTGAGGAAGGGTTGTTTGAGGTGGTTCGGACATGTAGAGAGAATGGAGCGAAACAGAATGACTTCAAGAGTGTATCAGTCTGTAGTGGAAGGAAGGCAGGGTAGGGGTCGGCCTAGGAAAGGTTGGAGGGAGGGGGTAAAGGAGGTTTTGTGTGCGAGGGGCTTGGACTTCCAGCAGGCATGCGTGAGCTGTGTTTGATAGGAGTGAATGGAGACAAATGGTTTTTAATACTTGATGTGCTGTTGGAGTGTGAGGAAAGTAACATTTATGAAGGGGTTCAGGGAAACCGGCAGGCCGGACTTGAGTCCTGGAGATGGGAAGTACAGTGCCTGCACTCTGAAGGAGGGGTGTTAATGTTGCAGTTTAAAAACTGTAGTGTAAAGCACCCTTCTGGCAAGACAGTGATGGAGTGAATGATGGTGAAAGTTTTTCTTTTTTGGGCCACCCCTGCCTTGGTGGGAATCGGCCAGTGTGATAATGAAAAAAAATAAAAAAATATTAACCCTCTGACTGTTTCGGTTGTATATAGATGTCACTGTTTTTGACGTATATATACCCCAAAATTCTAGTGGCTTCAAATCAAG